AATCGAGATCAGATGTCAGGCTGTACTCTTCGCATTTCTTTAGTACACTGGGCATTCTAGGTATGATAGAAGCTGGAGAGGGCTGATTTGAAGAAGTCAAAGAAACGTAATGAGTTTTGTTATAATTGAACCAGTGATCCTGTGGGTTGTCAAGTTGGATAGTTACTAGAACCTTCAGCCTATGAGAGAAAGAGGCTTTGGTCAGACCGAGCTGAGGACAGTCGATAGCCTCTGAAATAACCAACCTGGCGACACAGTGAATCACTTCATCTCTGAATACATACCAACTTAATGTATTTAAAAGATAACTTTTACTCCTTGGCGTCTGTTTAAACAGGTTAATTACTTTATTTCAGCCCATAATGTATAGTTTTTCCTAACTTGAGCTTTGAGATGGAGATAGATAATTTATTAAATAATATATTATCGAGTCAAAGTGAATTTCCACCAGCTGACGCGACAGAGCCAAGCTGGCAATATAAGATCTGGCGACAACTTTTGAGAAATTTACGCCATCCGTGACGGCGTTTGGTGTACAAATTGTAACTCTCTAACGATAGTTAGGCTTACTGCCTCAAGCCGATGCCAAAAAGATTGGCAGTGAGGCGACATTTTTCCTCCAGCCCCATAGTTTTACTCTTTTTCCACCAGCGTAGCCCAGTCTTGAAAGCTATGCCAACATTTTTTATGGAGTCATTCCGCTCGTGTCAAGTATCACGACAACATGCCATGGAAAATCCGGAAACACTGTCTTGCAAGTCTGCTCAAATTTTAACCTGAGGATTGCCTTCAAATCTAAGTAGAAAAGGCGTTAGGTTAACATCCAGGCCCGGATACATTCAGCATCCATCATAATTAGAGCTCTGGCAAGTTGAGTGAACCGGCTCAAATTTGGGATACAACAGGCACACGGGCAAGTCTTGACGCTTCCTTATACGTGATGTCAGGTGAAATCCGTCTCTATTGGCCGCGTATTTTATCTTTCTCAGTCACCCTACCTCTCCCTTCCTCATGACAACCCTTGTAAGTTTGTATCTATATGCGTCTATGAACACGATGAGCCAACTACTGGGTTAAAAGTCTCGAAGTATAGTTGTTGCATCTTTCATAAATTATTCAAGGAAGCCTATCACGGTTTCTTCTTAATAGAAAAGGAGCACCAAATTGCCAGTATTAGGTTGTCTAGTTGTCTTGCGGGATTATATATCCTCTAAAATTCCTCTATTGATAGCAACTACTCAAACACAAGTCCTTGATGAGCAATTTTGTCTCCTGCCCAGTTTGTCAAGAGGGCTTATCTAAAATATAAGAGTGATTTTTCGTTTTACTTTTTACGCTTCTTTCCTTATTTTCTCTACTTCCTTTCCATTTTTCACTCATTTTTAGCCTTTTCAAGAAATTGCCTAAATTATCTGAGATTAGCTTTTAAGTATTTATCACTGATTGTACCGAAAACCAAAGGTAGTGAGAAGGGTTCGAGGCTATCATTAACTCCTCGCTCCCAGTGACTCCAAGATTTATGTAAAAACACTTGGCCTCCGTGCGTTTCGCGAAATTATTTTCATGCTTATTTCAAGCAAACCATACAGAAGGAGTAAACTTGTAAACCATCAATAGATTATAGTTAGTAGATTTTGTGACTACCATCCAATCTTGAATAGGAGCTATAGTCTCGAAACCTACTTAATCGGAATATAAGTGATTTAGACTATTGTTATGGAGGATTTAAGTTTTCAGGCAAGGTAGGAAGAAATTTTCTAAATTAATGTATTTAGGAGACTTTTCGAGAAAACCTTCAGCAGTTTATCGCAAAATTTCCTATAAATTTTGTTCAAGAAATGTATGCTTCTCATTCAAAACATTTGACTATGCATTAAATTTTAATTTAATTTCGAAATTATAGTGATGGCAATATTGTGGAAGTTTACATTTCACTAGATTGGCCGGAAAGTTTGGAAGTTTCCTCAACGAAAGATGATGAAAGTCCCTAGTTGGAAGGTTTCTTCAATCTCCTATATATTTTCCCACCCTCCTCACCGACTCTTTTATTTGAAATCCTGCTTTACTGTGTAATGAAGATACTTTTTTTGGTTGCTCAATCACAAAACTGCTTGGATGGGTGTATTTACCAGAGGTCAGTTGACGGAGCGTTGAGATATGGGATTATGGGCACATTTCCTTCCAGCTTGCTCAATTAGTTGTTCCTTCGTTATAAGCCCTAGGTTTTAGCATAGTTCAAATATGCACATTTATTATGGTTTAACATAGGACTTTGTAGATTATTTCTATTTTAGACGATGCAACTTTTCACTATAGCTTCATTGAAGTTGCACATTTCTAAGTCAAAGAGTTGTTTAAGATAACAATTTTAGTCACCTTAGGTTGACTAGGATTATTTAGGACTAATACTTGAATTTTATTACTATGATAACAGCAGACCTCTTACATCATATAAGGCGAACTATGGTGACCACATTTCTTATTCTTGTCTCGATATCTAATCATGTCATATATTAATTCCTTAAACTATCATCGAAAGAGAAGCATCAACTTTTTTAATGCCAACTAGGTTTTGTGTAGTCTTAAGTTGGCCTTTCTCCTAGTGACTAAAACTTTTTTCTATCTTCAATGTTGTGAAGAAATCATTTCCATAGTCTGAGTCCGCTTTTGCTAAAACCGCTTCCTTTCTGATCGGTCGAGTAAATGTGGCATTATATACTTATATATACACACACAAACGTTTATATATACCTCCACATGCTTAACATTACGAGCCAATCGAGAACAATCAACATTCTGATACATATCCCTTGACTTGTCAGCATGAGTTATCAGCCCTTTACTAAAGGATTCATATGAAAGACAAGTATTTCTCATCTCCTTAAGGCAAACATGCATCCGATAGAGAATGGGATGTCACGTTCTTTGCCATCCGCGCAGGACAGCGCGAGTGGGAATCTGGAGTGCGCACAACGATAGCCTCCTTCCAAAGTGTAAAGAGATTATGATGTCATCGGGGGGACAGGATTGCTCCTATGGGAGAAGGATCGAGGCATACTGAAAAGTTTAATAATTTTCACTGCTCTGCCGTTGAAACAAGTTTATATCTATCTGAAGAGCCTTCAGTTGTCGACACACTTGACCTTCAAATAGAACGAAATCAAATGAGAAAAAAACCATCAGATTGAACTCATTGAAAGACTTTTTCACTATATCGTAAAGTATCCTGATTTAAAGTAAATACAAACTTAGCAAGCCCAGGTCATTTAAGGTGTTTTTAGGAAGGATAGTTGAGTTTTCCCACATTCAGTTATGCAGGACTCAGGCATCGCAAGGCTTACTCATTTCATTGCGGAAAAAATTACAAATCAGTCCTTAAATTATCTTAAACAACCTAGGCTGACTAACTTCTTATTCAAGATCTACTGATAGTATCGAAATATATTTATATAAAAAATTAATGTTACTACGTTTGTAGTGTTGGTTCGACCTCATTTTTAAAACCTTGTAGAAAGTACCTAGTCCTTTGTCCTCTGCCAGATTATTCATGATTTCTAGCATCGGACCATTGACTTGCTACATATCCACTTAATATGGCCCATCTTCCTATTCATACAATTATATGCTCTCGCTTCTTCCAACGTCGCCTAAACGTGCGTCGTTAAAGTGGGTTCAGTGAAGCGTAATCATCTTCACCACCCTTACTAGGTCCCGGTTGCAAGGCTCCTGACCTTCAGTTAGCCACCCTTCTCCCACTCCGCTTTCGATTGGTCGCTGCTAAACATCAAAACCACTGTATCACTGTCTGAATTCTGGCGGCCTTAGAGCCTTCAATTCCCGTTCCCGATATTCGAGGTTTTAGTAATTTACCAAATAAATGATCTGATACTGGAAATCATGAATATTATGGCAGAGGACGCGTGACTAGGTACGTTCCACAAGGTCTCCCGGAAACTCCGACCAAGTTGAGAAGACCAAGTTGAATCAGAAAAATAAAGAAGATTGTGAGCAAACAGAAGATCAAGCCAGCATGGTCTTAATATCTACGATCTAGTTATTACTTTTGCCTAGACAAATTCACATTATCGTAAAGAGCATTGTATTGATACTGACATGTTATCCTTGGCTGGGCTTTCTTAACAGGCCCATTGAGGAAGAAATTTAGGAGGTCTTCCTTCGTCCCGCCCTATGAAGCCTGCACTCTACTTTCTACATCAAATAACCTTCATGAATGACTCGTGGTAAGTTATAGTTTTGACCTATCCTCCTTCAAGCATTCGGATCTATGGCAACCTAGATTCAAGCTCTTATTTCAGATAAAAGACTTGTCCAGTCGCAGCTTGGGGAAACAAGATGGGCCAGAAGTTTATTTCGCTTTTGGATCAAGGAGGTTATGGGAATCCGACTATGAAGCTGGTTAAAGAGGCGCATACTTGGGGCTTAGCAGAGCGGGTGGGGGTAGAGTGGAGTAGGTGGAGTAGCAAGTTAAACTCCGAAAATGTGAGTGGAGTCTGAGCATATAGACCTAGGCGACAAAACATTTACATGACCGAAAGGGGACAGGGTAAAATCCACAACTGTTCAATATGATAGTTGTAAAAGGGATTCGCATGACTGACTGTTTCGACGAGCTGTAGAAGGGGGCTGAGGAGAGCGTATCTCCCAGACGATGTCAATCGCAAAAATGACGGATAACGTAGTACGTAATACGTGCTTCATAGTCCCTCGAGGAACAGAACTAATTCGAGAAAGTGAAGGCAAACCAACTATTTTCCCCAGTTTTTCTTTCTTCTTTGGTACTGTATCATACTCCGCATGGCACTGATCATGCGCCATTTAGTTTTCCCGTGCATCTACATCGCCAGTCAATTAAAATTATCATATATATTCTTGCAAACCATTTTCATCTCATCTAGTCATATCTGCTAAAGGTTTAATAGACTGTTAGTTGGAAGTTATCAAACCTTTGTTTGTCTGCACCATATCACATCACCCTTTTGATGCTTAACAATTTTGCTGTATACTCTCACACCTCAGTTAAACCCTCACGACCCGAGATTCTCGCTCCGCCCGGAGAGCCCCAGCCGACAGCCAACGGCAGGCTTGTTATCGCCTCGGCCAACATGTCGACTTCCCCGGCCGATCGAATCGAGGAGACCAGCCATATACAGCTCACATGTCAAACTCGCGGAGGTCGACCGACGCCTAGCATCGAATGGTTCAGAAATGGACGACAAGAGGCTAGGAGCAGCAACATCAGTTTGGGTAGGAATATGGGTAGCCATGCTGGCAAAGCAGGTAGCCATGCTGTCCTTCGGAATGTCATGACGGAGGCGACACTTCGCCTGCGTAGAGACAACCTGAATACGGGCGACCGGCTCGTCTGTGTGGTGCGCAATGAGGCATTGCTGCGCGCCGAGCAATTGGAGGACCGGGAGCTGCGCGCTGAAGTTATCATCGAAGTTAACTGTAATCCAGATTGATGAGTTATTTTATTTATCTATTTATTCTTCTTTATTGCCTAGTTTATACTTTTTATCAACATCCACGATT